ATGTTGTTTTATTAGAGCTACATGATGCCTTGTGGTGCCTTTTGAGCTTTTTAAAAAATATATAGCCTTTATGTTCTTTTTCTGAGAAGCAGCAGGTAAGTTGCCAAGAGTAAACAAATCAAATAGCAAAAGATTTGAGTTCAGTTTGAAATGCTTAGCCTATTATTTTTTATTGGGTTCTGAACCTGGCAGTGCACAATCTCCCATTCCTGCCTGCAGGGCAGAATGAAAACAATTTGAACACTGTATTTCCCAATTGGTTCATTGACATTTGAGAATAATGTAGTACAGACAGAATCAGCATGCTTGGCAGGTGAGTGACACTTAACATGACCTCAGAAAGTTACTTCCTGTCAGCGTGCCAGAATGCATAGCATGGGACAGTGGTATACGTGTTAATGAACCTCATTCTAGATCAGAAATGTATATCTGTGATACACATGTGTACTCTTCTCATGAATCTTTAGGTGGAATGGTTGAAAAATGAAGACATAATCGACCCAGTTGAAGATCGGAATTTTTATATCACTATTGATCACAACCTCATCATAAAGCAGGCTCGCCTCTCAGATACTGCAAATTATACCTGCGTGGCCAAAAACATAGTCGCCAAGAGGAAAAGTACTACTGCAACTGTCATAGTCTATGGTGAGTGATTTTGGTGTACCTGTGCCTGCATGTGTGTGTTACTCATACTTAAACACAGGCCAGATGTAGAGGAGCTCATCTAGTTCATGCCCCTTCCTAATTTACACGACTGCTGTCTTCCGGCCTCTCACGTGGGCAGTGTGGTTTAACTACTCTGATCCTTATAAGAAAGACAAGATTTTGAAATCCTTAGCCCTCTATCAGGTAGCTCACAGCAAATTGATGGAAGTCTATTTAGGGGGTTCCTGCCAAAGACAGGAGGTGTTCCCTTCTGTCTTTAGCCCTGCCTTTTCCATAACCTGCACCACGGAGAACTAGTCGGAGATCCAAAGTTGAAGATGCTGATATTTCTGTGGTCCTTGGATCGGTCCAGTGATTGCCGAACCTCAGGGAATGCAGCACTGACCTGCTCCATAAACACAGTTCTTAAAGTAACTTTGACTTCCTAGAAAGGGTTTCTCTTTTCCATT